AAAATTCAACTAGCTGAACTGGCTGCTACTTTGACAATATTTTTTTCTAGTTAATGTATATCTCTATTTTTCCATCTGTCCATCCCTAAATGTTTATCTTTACCAAAGTATTAATATGTTTTTCTTCTGCATGCTCTTCATTGGTACTCTCATCTCAGACCTTTGTTGGTGACACCAAAGCTAGATCTTTATTTCTAGCTCAGATATTTCTTTATTCCAAATCCATATTTACAAATACGGACTAAGAACTTTAGTGTAAGCTTGTCCAAAATGCTACTTTGGTCTTTTTTATATTCCTTAATTTGAATATTCATTCTGCATCTACCTAATTGCTTAAGCCAGCAGCTTAGATATTATTTTGTGCCCCCCATTCCCATTCATCCCTGTTTTGATTTTGTCTCTAAAACATCTCTTGAATTATTTCCATCTTCTGATGACTTTTTGCTTTTAGTGATTCTCAAGTACAGCAGACAATATTTATATGAAAATTAGTATTCTGAAATAATAGTAATCTAATTAAAATCATCATAATATCCGAAGTAATTGAGAAGAGATATGAGAAGAAAGAATGTTTTGTGTCATGTAAATGCTTAGGTACAGTGGCACTTAGAAAACAATGAAGAATTATATTTTGCATGTGAATATGAAAATGCTTAGGCACAGTACTAGAAAATAAGAATACAAACGTGTGTATATATACTCACATATATCATGAATATAATAGATGCAAGTACAAACCAATACAAATGTATCATTTGTGACACACACCAAGATTGGTATGATTATCAGAAATAATGAATAAATTTAAATGTTTCAAATTTTAAAAAGTAGTCTTCCCTCTATTATGTAGATATTACTTTTTACTTCCTGAAAAGTGCAAAAACTATTGTAACTATACTTTTCTCATTGACCAAGACATAGATAAAGTGCTTTGCTTGTGTTTTCAGCACAGAATTTAGGCACTTGAAAAATATTTGCCAGGGGTTCATCAGAGAGGGAGGAAGGAAATTCAGATAGCTGGGGAATGCACAGGGAATTGGGGGGGGGGCAGTGAAACTTAACCAGATACCTCGCTGTACATAGAATGTACAACACAGTTAAGATCCTTTTCTCAACTGCAGCTTCATCTTTCTTATTCACAATTATGAAGAATTATGTTCAATTTAGTTTGTCTCATAATGTTCTTGAATCTCAGTCCTTACATGTAAAAAATTTTCTCATGGAGTGTTCTTCATTGTTTTTCTATCTGATTATATGTCCTTTGAAGGCAAGAACTAGGTCTGTTTACTCACAACTTAGCATAATATTGATACATGGGAGGAGTTCAATAAATATTTCTCAAATAGATGAATGACATAATTACAGTTTTCTTTTGCTTGAGATCTTCTGTGGACTACTATTTAGAAACTGTTTACCTGTGTCTTATTGGTGTCTTCCATACTTGACCCATTATAAAAATGCCCAAATAGATAGTTTTTGCGATTGCATTTAAAAAAATACATTACCAGGACTGTGCTACAAAATAGTCTGTAGTTCTTTTTCTCCCAGGCACAATTTAGTTGTAAATTATTATTATTATTATTATTATATGCCTTTATTTATTTTTATGTGGTGCTGAGGACCGAATCCAGGGCTTCACACGTGCCAGGTGAGTGCTCTACAAGCCCTAGTAAATTATCTTTTTATTATTTTCCTATAGTAGTGTACATCTTTAAAATTAAAAAAAAAATTTAGTTGTTAATGGGCCTTTGTTTTATTTATATGTGGTGCTGAGACTCGAAACCAGTACCTCACACATGCTAGGCAAGTGCTCTACCACTGAGCTACAACCCTATCCCTCCCTTTAAAAAATTTTTTACAGTAGTATATATCTATTATGTCATGGTTAGGAAGCATTTAAATTTAAACAATTGAATTACAAAGCAGTAAAGTTATTTCCAAGGAAGGAAACTGTTTGAAATTGTATCCTTTTAATGTAACCCCTGTATTCCAGAAAATGGTGTGACATATCACCACAACCCTACTTATTGGATATTGACAAGTTATGCGTTCTATATAAATTTCAGAGTTGTGGCAGCATTTATGACAACATCACAAATATTTTTCTTCCTACTCTCATTTAATTTTTTAAAAACTAAAAACCCAGTCATTTTATACTAGATTTAATGGCAAATAAGAATGCAGTTATTGGGTATGCTAGGATATTCCTGATAGACTCACCATTATTTTATAAATGATCATTGTGTTCATAAAGTATATTTGTATGTATTTGTACTTGAGGAAAAGAAAAACTTTTCTTGGTAGTATTAACAAAATATGTGCCTTTTCAAATTGAATAGCATTTGTGAGCAAGGTTATTTTTTATCTAATGTTGAACTTGATTGAAAAAAGTCTTTTCCTATTTGAATTGCTACTCTTTAAAAAAATATTAAAATGTTTTCCCCCAAAAAAATGGTTTTTAAAATTCTATTTATTTCAAATGCATCAATCAACACCCCCTTTTTTTTTCCTCTTAGCACTGGGCTTTGAACTCATCGCCTTGCGCATACTAGGCAGACACTACCACTGAGATACATCTCCAGCCTTTTTTTTTTTCTTTTAATTATTTTGAGATTGCCTGGCTTGGCCTGGAACTCGAAATCTGGCCTACCTTAGCCTCCTGAGTAGCTGGAATCATATATACTACTGAGCTTAGTGCAAATGCTGCTTTAGAACTGCATATTGTAGATTTGTATTGTCCAATGTATGCTTTGTATTGTTTAATTTTTTGAGGTAATTTTAGATTTATATTATTTATAAAAACAGTTCTCCTGTACTCTTCCCTCAGTTTACACTAATTCTAACATTTTCTATAACTATGCTATGATTATTGAAATCCCAGATTTGATATTGGTACAATACTATGAACTAAATCACAAATTAAAGCCTGGGTTTGAGATTATACCAGTTTTTCCATGCACTCTTCTCTCACCTGTGGGAGTGAAATTTGATCACATGTATAGATTCTTACGAACACTACCATAAAGTTCAGAACTATTCATCACTTCTGAGAAACTCTTACTTGTTACCTTTATAATTACACCTTCCCTTCAACCCCAGGTCATCACACCACTAACTCATTATCTATCACTTTAATTTTGTCATTTAAGAATAGTATATGAACAGAGTCATACGATATGGAATCTTTTGATGTTGACTTTTTAATGTAGCATAGTGAGATCCATCTAAGTTTTGGGCTGGGGTCAGTAATAGTTTATCCCTTTTTATTGAATAATGTGCCATTGCATGAATGCACCACAGTTTTTTCATTTGCCTATTAAAATGTATTTGGTTTGTTTCCAGCTTTGAAGTATTACAAATAAGATTGCAGTCAACATGTAAATGCCTAAATTGTCATTCCTCCAGAAGAAATACCCAGGAGTGCAAGTGCTAGGTTATATGGTAAATGTGTGTTTAACTTTAGGAGAGACTGCCAAATTATTTTCTATAGTGACTGTGCCATTTTATATGCTTGTCAGCAGTGAATGAGAGATCCAGTTTATCTATTTTGACCAGGTTATGGTATCATTGTTTTTACTTTAGCTCATCTAGTGGTACCTGTACTTGGATTTCCTTAATGGCTAATGATGTTGAACATTTTTGCTTGTGCTTATTTGCCATTTATGTCTTCTTTGGAGTGTCTGAGTTTTTACTTATTTTCTGATCAGATTGTTGTCTTATTATTTAAGAGTTTTTAAAATAAGTATATATTCTGGATGTAACTCCTTTGTCATATGTGATTTATAAACACAGAACTCTCAGACTATAGCTTATCTTTTTGTTCTCTTAATTGGGTCTTCACTGTACAGAGTTTTGTGATGAAATCCACGTGTTGATTTTTTTTCCCCCTTTAAGGACTTTACTTTTGGTGTCATAACTCTTTGATACCATATCATTAATTAGAGTCCAGTTTTTGGAGCTGTACATTTTGTTTTGATATATGAAGACATGTATCCACCAATAAAATATCATACAGAACAGTTTTCATGTCCTAAAATTCCGGTGCACCACTTACTCATTCTTCCCTTTCTCTCCCAGAACCCTCTACAAATAACTGATCTTTTTACTATCTCCATAGTTTGTTTTGTCTTTCAGAGAATGTCATGTTAGAATTATACAATATGTAGCCTTTCATATTGTTTTTTTTTCAGCTTATAAATGTCTTTTCCCTCAAGTGTTTTCAGATCCTGATATCTTTTAATCACTAAGTTTTATTCCATTGTATGGATGTGCCACAGTTTATCTATTCACCTACTAAAAAATATCTTGGTTGCTTCCAAGTTTGGACAACAAAAAATAAAGCTGCTATGAAAATTTGTGTGCAGGTTTTTATGTAGATGTAAGTTTTCAACTCATCTGGGTAAATACGAGGACAGTAATTGGTTTATACAAGAATACATTTAGTTTTATAAGAGACAGTCTAAGTGGCTTATATCATTTTGCATTCACACCAGCAATGAAACAGAGTTCTAGTTGCTCTGTTTTCTTGTCAGCATTTGGTGTTTTCCAACTAATTTTTGAAAGCTGTGCAAAAGGAATTCAATGGAGACGGCCTTTCAAGAAATGATGTTGGAACAACTAGACTTATTTTGTATAAACCTCTTATATAAAAATTAACTCAATAATTCAGATCTAAATGTGAAAAAGTTATAAAACTTTAAAGAGAAAATCCTTCGGTATTTATTTAGACCTTTGATTTCTTTGCTAATTTTCTGCATTTTAGTCTTATACTACTGAGAATGGGGCGATAAAATCCCCAATTATAGGTGAAGGTTTATGGATTTTTATTTTTAGTTTTATCATGGTCATTTTGAGACTTATTATTTTTAATTCTGATTTGTTTAAATCTTCTGTTTTAGCACATAAACTGGTTCAGAACACATGTCCTGACCTGACCCACTTCTATGGTCTTTGGTTCCAGTCAAAACTTTGATCTGTGGGCCATCCCAAAGCCTATGTGAATCGCTTCTCGGCCTTTTGGCTAAGATCAAGTGTAGTATCTGTTCTTATCAGTTTAATATCTGATACGCCCTCTATCCAAAGCCTATGTGAAACATAGATGATATTCCACACTATAGTTCAATTCTTAGACTAGTTACTTTCATGCTTGAGCTACTATGGATTATGCCTGAAAATACTACATAGATTGAAAGAATCCCTTTTTTTCAGTTCCTTACTCTCCTAATCTTCCTTTCTCTCTGATTGGGAAGGGGTGGTATATTACCCCTTTGCCAATATTTGCTTAGTGCAAAACAAGGGATGATTAACGGGGCTCTCTTTCTTATAATCTGATAAGTGCAACTTGGAAATGGTCAGCAGGACTCTACTTCATACTCCTGAACCACAGAGATGATGTGAAGGGGAATGTATACTGCTTCTGTACAAGTAATTACAAAGCTGGATGGTTGGCAGGGTTTCACTCCAAAGTCTTTGTGGTTTTAGTGCCAGTTGAGGAGGTAGAGAGGGACATGACTTCTTTTAGTTTTCGAGAAAGGAGGGAATGGTCAAAAGGGCACCATCTTGGAAAGCTACCTTTTTCACAGTTCTTTGGCTGGAGAGAGCAGATATTTCTTGGTGTTTTCATTTGTTTTTGCCTCTTGGTATTTTTTGGTTGTGGGTTTCTCTACTGCCCAGGTTAGGATATGTAGGAGATGAAGACAAATCCCAAGGAACTCACTTTCAGATAATTCTTAAAGTCCCAACACCCCCTGTCAGTCTCCCTTCTTTTCTTTACTTTTCATAGTCTTCAGCTAGTTGCTTAATAAGTTTTATCCAGGGTTTAGGTTATTTTTAGTGGAAAGAATATAATAATAATAATAATAATAATAATAATAATAATAATAATAATAATATAATTGAGCTATCTTGTCTGGGACCAGAAGTCTTGTCTATTATAATTCAAGATCTAATGTTGTAAAAGCATTCACCTTAGAAAAAACTAAGGGATATATTTAGTGTGTGTGTCCTATTGATTGTTTTTCTTTTTGCATAAACATTATGACACATATGGTTAGCATAGTCTTTATACCAGGAATAGATCTTAATAGGCTTGTTGATTTCTCTCTTCTTTCTTTCTTTGTCTCTTCCTCCTAAATCATAGGAAATTTCTTTTGGAAATAGCGAAATGTAATGTGAGTATATTACAAGAGCAAGTAAAAAAATACTTTTTGTGTCCAATTTGCATAAAAATATAGTTCCTGAAAGTAATGATTTAAAACCTGAAACAGTGACAGGACAAAGGGTGGCAAACTATGGATCAATGGCCAAATTTTTTTGACCTGTTTTGCTATAAAATTTTGTTGAAACTCATCGACTCCTGTTTGTTGTGTGTTGTCTTCTTCTGCTCTCATACTGAAATATCAGAATTCATGTTCCTGCCACACAGACTTAATTTGGTCTGCAAAGCCTATGTCCCTCTACAGAAAAAGTTTTTGACCTCAAAGTTTCATGTATTGAAGGCTTGGTCCCCACCTTATGGCCATTTTTGGGAGGTAATGGAACCTAGTAGAGGAAGTTAGATCATTGGGGGAATACCCTTAAAGAGAATATTGAGACCCTGGTACCTTTCTCCCTTTTTGCTTCCTGGCAACCATGTTGTGAGTAGTTTTGCTCCTCCTTGTGGCTCTTGCCTTGATGTACTATCTCAGGCCCAAAGGTAATAGGGTCAAGCAACCATGGACTGAAACCTGTGAGCCAACACAATCCTTTCTTCCTTAAAGCTTTTTATCTCAGATATTCATTACAGTGACAGAAAGCTTAGTGATAGAATTCTTGGCTTAGAAAATATTGGAAGCCTAAATTAATAAACATCCTTATACAATCATGATATGTCTGCTTATCTTTGTAATCCAGCATGGCATAAGGCAAAGAATGTGGAATTTAAAATCAGGCATACCCATTTTTATATTTTCTTTAGTCACTTATTAGATGTGTCGGTGTTCTTGTTTGTAAATTGAGAATAGAGGCACTCTTAATTTAGGAATTTAAAATTGCTTTCATAATTTAAAACAGATTTATATGCTAGTGAAAGTTACTTCAACCTAGACTTCTGCAGGGCGGAATTCAGTGCCATTTTCTTGTTTGATGCCATTTTGGATTAACAGTAAAATGGATTTAAGAGAGTTAATTTGGTTATGAGTAGGGAAATTGTTTAATATCTTCCTGGACATCTGGTTGTGAGAGTATGAAATAAGATAAAAAAAAAAGCCCATATCAAGAGGTCTATATACAGTAGTTATTAGTTGGTTGAAAATAAGAGTTAACCTGGGGTGGTAAAGATCTCAGTGTAAAAAACACATTGCTGACTTCAGCTTAATTGATAGAATTTTATGCCCCCCCCCATTTTAAGAATTTTGAGACTGAGTACCATTCATACTGTTGCATGAATGGGTACAATATTCCGATTTTGTATAAATGTAGTTGTCCCCCAAAACATACAATTAAAGTGATGAAATAAATCCCAAACTCTTGAATAACTTATTTCCAAGAAACATCAAAGATTACTCTGAATACATTTTCTCTCAAAAATTTTGGCAGTGTCACTTGATTCAGATATAGATCCCTAATTTACTTAGGGCTGTCAAATCAGTTCTCCTTAACAAACTATATTTTTATTGGAAGTATAAAATTTTTAGTTCAGCCTCGTTGATTAAAGAAAAAGCATGGTGTACTGTAACTAAGTTATGTACTAGCAAATCTCATTAGGTATAGGAGCTGCAGGATGAGCATGTGATTCAGTTCAAATCTATCACTGCTATAGTAAAATAATTGAAATAACTCAAGTATTGGTAGTTTGAAGTTCAAATATAGCGGATGGTATTGATAAACTATGGGAACTCCTCTTAGTCTTCAGTAGGACCTTAAAATTATTAGTAATATTGTTTTTTCATTATTGTAGTTATCTTCTGACTTGTCCTTGACCTTCAACCTTCATTGTTTTAGAATTATACTTGAGAAATACATTTACTGGTTTTCAGATCCCACATTTGATCAGATCAAGTGTTTCCCCAAATTGATAAGCTTTCTTTTTTTAGTTGTTAATAGACCTTTATTTTATTTATTTATATGCAGTTCTGAGAATCTGAACCCAGTGCTTCACACAAGCCAGGCAAATGCGCTACCACTGAGCTCCAGCCTCTTGATAAGCTTTTATTGAGGCAGTTTTGTTTAAGGTTTTAGAATTTCCTGGATTCCTTTCCCTAAAGATTCTGATTGAGTAGTTTGAGATGGAGCCTGGACATTTGTATTTTTAAATCTTACTTGATTTCTGCACAGGAACACAGGAGTTGTTGTCCTTCTAAATTGTGTGTAAATAAAAAGTGAATTTTCAGAAACTTGATAGTGTCACTTGATGACCTTTCAGTGTTTGTGTTGTTGTTGTTGTTTGTTTTTAGTACCAGGGATTGAACCCAGGGGCACTTAACCACTGAACCACATTCCTAGCTCTTTTTATTTTTTGAGACTGGATCTCGCCAAGTTATTTAGGGCCTCATTAAATTGCTGAGGCTGGCTTTGAATTTGTGATCTTCCTGCCTCAGCCTCTGAGGAGCTACTAGGATTTACACGCATGTGCCATCATGCCTGGCTAGCTCATGATGACATTTCTTAAGTACAGACAGATAAACAATGTTGTATCCCTTAAGTTATTGCATATTTTCCATTGTTCATTGTTAAATGGTTTGAGTAAAAGCACTTCATGGTTTGAAGGGGGCATAGTGGTAAATAATGTGAAATGGGCTTTCATGGTATGCTAGCCAAATAATAGCATATTTATTTAATTGTGTATACCAATGTAAGTTCATACTTTGCAGTTTCAAATTATAGATCATTAATTCTCTACCCAACTCCTATTATCATTGTTATATCTCTTGTTTGAGCAAAGCCCTACCTTTTCATTGTCTATGCAAACCAAGTCCATTCATTCTTTCTTTAGGCAAAACCTTCCCTTTCATGATGTACCACCTACCTCTCCTTGTTTGAATTCTATCTCATTATTAAAGGGCCAGTTAGCCTAAGTTTCTCAGTTGTTTTCACTGAATGATTTTCCTAAAAGTTCTATAGCTGATATCTAACCTGTAAATTTGTATGGGTGAGGGGCCCATAGCAAAATAAATAAATAAATAAAATTATTTTTTTCCTGTTCCTGTGATCAAACCCAGAGTCTTGACGCATTCCATGCAAGTTGTTTTATCAGTTATATAGTTAACAAGAGTTAAAAATATGAATCATTTATTTTAAATTGAAAAAAATGTTTAGGGAGGACTGATGCCTTTTTCAAAGCTTTTATTACTTTTTTGGTCTTTGTGGATTACTTTTACCAGTGAACCTTTTGTACTTAGTGTGCTATTGATCTTTTTCACTTGTCTAGAATATAGACATCATTTGAGATTGCTCTGTCATGGTTTCTCAAGGGTGGTCCCTCAGATTTACCTGTATAAGAATCAACTAGATTCCTTATTAAAAGTGCATATTTTAATAATCTTTCCCCTAGACTATTTGCTTTTTTCCATGCATATCATTTTGTCCTTTTTGTTCTTTTGCCACACTGCTATTCATTCTTTTATCAACTTTGAAATCCTTTCTGTTTTGTAAAGCTATAAGTAGTTATAGATAGAACAATTTTAGGGGAATGGTTAGAATATAGGCTGTGGACATATGCTGCCTAATTTTAAATTTTGGCTCTTTTTTCCCCCAAGATAACAAAGCTAGTTATCTAAAAATATTTTTGTGCTTTAGTGTTCCTTTGTATAAAATGAGGATAACAGTTTATCTCATAGTGCTGTTATATATATCCATGTAAAATATATAAATATTTGTAAATTCTTCAGTGTTTGTATTAGCACTTAATAAATGTTAGCTGCTGTTGTGATTTCTCACTTTAACTTTCATAAAGTTTTGTAACAGTAATTTGTGATCATTTACCTCTATTAGATTGCAAATTCCTAGAAGTGAGGGCCTGCCTTATTAATTTTTGTAGTTTTCAGTGGATTTTACATTATAAAGGGTTCAATAAATACTGTATCAAGTAATAGGAACATGGCAAAGTTCACAGTAAGATAGTTTTTCAGAGACTATTTACTTAATATAAATTATAACTTAAGGTAATTTAATACTCTCTATTATATTTCAGGAATTCTAATGAATCATTGACCAGCACCATT